TAGTGATATTCTTATATTTTTAAGTGATTACATTAATGAAGAGGATTTGTTTAAATATATCACATTTATCACTCAATTTAATATATTCTTTGAATCATATGAAAATGGAAATCGCTAAAAAAATAAGTTCTAAATACTAAAAACGTTGGGTATTCTGCTCAATGTTAAACTGCTACAAATAACAGTAAAATCGGATCGACTAACAGTAGTATGGAATTAAAATGGCATCTTTCTCATCAAATAGTTTGTACTAATAAAATGTATTTAACCGATGAAAATAACTATCTTGAAAAATACCAATAATCATTCAAACAATTCTTCTTCAAGTTTCTTTACTGTTGATTATTAAATAATTCTCCTGAATAAAACTAATGCAACTAAAAGAAGACAAATGAAAAGCATTTCAGAGTTAATAGAGTCAACAAAAAATATTCAAATAGTTTTCTTTCAGTTTGCAAAGAAAAATCATATTTACTTAACTTCTTATTATTATTTGTTCGTATTTACATTTTTCAACTTTAATTTTATTTTCTGTTTTGTTCCACTATCTTCTACCATATTTCAGTACAACTTGAAAAGTCTATTCTGGCTTTTAGCGAACTAATTTTTTCAATAAAGGAATTTTATGAAGATTGAACAAATGTGGCGAATGAGTGCATTTTTTTCTGCTCAACAAAGAAATATACAATCAAGCGTTATCTTAGGAGACCATTACTCTTAACTAATTCCAGATTATGTTACTGTTTTCAGCTGGTCTCATTTGGAGCTGTACTTGTTCGAATTAATCGTTTGATTCTCCAAAAGAATCTCATAATTGGGTGAAAACCACATTTTGTTTTTTTAGGGTGGTTTATTCCGCTTGGACCAAGTTCTCATGTATTTTATGTTTTTGTAAAGTATACATTTTTTATCGCCTTTAGCTTAAAAAACGAACATTTTCGTTATATTGCAATCACACATGAAAGAGATTAACTAAGATAGTAAAATTATTTAGGTATTTTCAGTACATTGGCAATCTCCTGCATCGTATAATGTTGATTATTCTCAAGGGATGTTTTCATTTGATCGCGATCATCATTAACTAAGTACTCGATCTTATTATTGTTATGATCTATATATTGTTATCTTATCATTGTTAAGTGAAAAATCTCCAGCAAGAAATTTTGTAAATATTTTTACATATTTGAGCATTTACAGTACCTTTCTTTAAATAAAAAGTAAATGAAATTTATAATAAACAAAAAATAACTTCTTCCACCTTGAATGCCACAATCAATAAAAGTTTTATTTTTTTTTATTCAAGCTGTTATAGCAATTGTTACAAATCAGCCAAAATCGTCATTTTGAATAAAGTTAAAACAAACACTTTTAATTTCATCGAATGGTAAGTTTTTGGCCAAGCAAATATTTGTAAATTTTCTGATTGCTCTTGAAAAACTAATCAATGAGTAACGAAATAATTTATGTGCTTGTTGATCTCATATAATCATATATTATGGTAGCTTCATTGCCAGATTTTGATTATCGGTTAAAAAATTTGAAGCACTTACGCTTGAGAATTTTTTTTTAATTTCAAACGAGTGAAAAAACGGTTCTTATATACTTATGTGGTACTTGTAAGTTAAATTGTAGTTTTCTAATAAAATCATCACGTGATCAAATAATCTACGTTATAACCTACTCTCACTGTTGCATTGTTTCCTGTCTGTACAGGATCATTTTGGAAAAAGAGGAATTACTATTTACCGGAAATAAATGACTATAATGACATCTTCTGATTGATGACGCCATTTTGGTTTCGATCAGATACTCTGCAGTACAGATTAAGCTAAATGACACTCCTAACACACAATATGATAAAAAAATACTTCACAAAAGTGGTTATATGACTACTCTGGTTTGGTAGTTCTGGGTATGATGACAAACTACATCCGGCAGCAAAACCTCCGATCGGAAGATTGAAAATCATCTCCAAATTGCTGCTGTGTCCAGCTCTACCTCGATCTTAGATGGTAGCGCCTATTACGATCCCAGCTATGGGCAAAAAGTGAACCCTTAAACAAAAGCGAAACACTGTTAAAGTATAAAAATACATTTTTACGGTAAAAATAGTTTCATTTTTATATAAAAAATTACAAAGTATAAATTTTATACTTGAAGGCATATAGTTTTATAGTTGAAAGATTGCGTTCAAAATATATTTAGTTGAAGCTATAAAATTGTTCAAAATATTTAGATTTTGGCATTAAACAGACCATAGAGATTGATATGCCGCTAAACAAAATCAACCAACCAACCCTGGTTTGGAAATAGCACTAGGCACTAGTTAGTTTATAGCATAAACTTTAGGGATCGATATTTCACGGTGTTTTGAAAACGTATATATACGTCGAGAGCAGTAAATATAATTTTTATAATGAACTATAAGTACGTCAACAGCAATGGAAACAAATAAATCATGATACTTCCTTTGTTCCATCGCAGTGTGTATTACATTACAATGAGTATTACATTGCAATGAGTATTACATTGCATTGTTAAGTGAAAAATCTCCAGCAAGTATTACATTGCTATGAGTATTACATCCATACTGTAATTTTCTTTTTATTGTTGTTTTTGCATAAGATTTATCCGAAATGTTCACTATTAATATATTTTGATTTATTTCTGTCTTTTATATACCGTTATAATTTTTGTATACAAGGTCCTTTATAAGTAGACCACCAAAGCACTGTCAATAGACTGATGACGTCTGTTGATACAAGAAACCTTATGTTCACATGTGTGTTGATTGCTGGAAGCTGAGCTCAGCGATGATTGATCAATGGCACTAGCGATAAGTTTGTAAAATTGAGACGATGAAGCAAGAGATAATGACAGTGTTGATGATTTTGTTTGTAGGACGATGAAGCTTTTGAAGTGGAGATGAAGAAGATACAGAAGCCGCTGTAGTGAAAGGCTAGACAAAGTTATACACAGCGATTATTATCGAAAGGTATTTACATTCCTACAACACACGGGCTAAACTAGAAATGATAGTCGGTTCAACAGGGAACATAAACTTTAAATAGGAAAAGAGGAAACTCCAATGAGACGCCAAAAAAAGACGAGGATCTGCATCTGACAGAGTTTGTTATCGCGTGGCCGTACGCGCCAGCCCGACTTACTAACACAATCATGTCCGAGTTGGCAAGTCTATACACATTCGATCAGCTTTATATAAACAACGATAGCCGTTTACACAAGTTGATACAGAAACCTATGCAAGTGTGTGTATGTGTGTGAGTGCACACACACTCACACGCGCGCGCACACACACACGCATGCACACACGTTCGTGTGTTTTTAATAGATTTTGTAAGCAAACAAAAATACTGACATGGAGCGAGATAAATAGATCAGTCTGTGCTCCAAGTACTTTATTTATTATGTCCTTGATAATTATCTTCAAAAGCTTTTTTTTAAATACTTCAAAATCTAGAGACACCTATTTTGCTGATTACAAAAATATTACATACATTCTGTAATTTCGAGATGAGGAAGAGCGTGGAATGAGTTGCCCAAAATATTGGTATCAACAAAAGTCCGAACAACATTGAAAATAAATCATTTTTCCTTTCGTCGCTTTAAAAGAATAATAATAATGAAATGTTTAAATCTTTTAATTAATGACCAAACCTATTTGCTTGTGTAAATCTTTGTAGTTATTTTTAACCTAAAAGAAGAAATATTATATACCATCCTCAAACCACACTGATTTTTGTCACTTTTTCAGAAGAATATTAAGGTGACTATTGAAAATAACACCTGGCTATGCGAACAAGAGATACAGATTTCTTATAACCGCAAATTGCAGATTATGTAGACACAATACTAAAAGTTTTCAAAGGAAATATCAGTGGTGCTATTTTACTAGGTTCCTCTGAATCCTCTATTTTCGGGCGATCATTTTTATAAATTTGTAATTTCTATCTATCTTTATTATTTATAAGACCGACTATCTTGTGAGGTTTATGTTTGAAAATAAATCTGCTTCTACTCATTATGTACACAAGAGTGTTATAACCCTTTTATTTGAAATAAATTTGCTCACAATCTATTGCTTCTCGTCATCTTCTAATTGAGTTATACGCGTATACGGCGAAATTTATATGCACCCACCACACACACATTTAAAGAATAAATGAGTTAACTACACATTTTCCCATTCCTTTTAGAAAATATTTACTTGTCAATCAAAAGTATAAAAAGGAGAAAATATATGACAGATAACCTTTTCCAATTCAAATAATTATTTCAGCCATCACACACAGTCATGCTTTGGGTTAGAATCAAAATTTTGGACTAATCTTTTTACGCTACTGGTATTGGATTAAAAAATAAATAAATTAGAAATGAAAAATGGAAAGAAACGACATAGATCTTTTTTTAATGAAGAAAAGGAACTTTAGAAGGATGTTAATACTCGTTCAAATTCGATTGTCAAAAAAAAAGATTTTTCATGTAAAAACCTGTCCTGAAATATGAAAAAGCGCGCCCTCTTCCCACCTTTTATTGTCAATGAATATTTTCGCCACATCCGATGTTGTCTAATTCTTTTTTTTTTTTTTTTGCATGAAGTTCCACCTACCGGCGACAACACTGCGTCGTTGCTTGTGCATGTTCATGGGTTAGAGGGCTGCAAAGTGCTTTTCTGTCGACTCCTGCATCTGTACAACCCAAACAGCCTTAGCCGGAAGTGCCGATTCTATTACTAATTGAACACCGTGTCAGGTTGCTTCTGTGCCGCTACCAGATTCAATAATACTTCCGCACAGTCGCTAATTACTAGCCTCTTCGAGCAAACACATTTGCCAAAGTACTGACACCTGAACTACACCTACCACTTCAACACTATTGTTTGTCATTCGCCCGCTCTTTTTCCTACCTTTTTATTTATCTGTTCGTTCTTTATCGAGTATTTTTTCTTTTTTCTTTCATTGCAGTTTTCAAAATCTGTCATGCTTTATTTCCATCATACTTTCTCCAACAACCTTTCCCTTTCAAATCTATTTTTCTTCTCTGCTTTTCTCTCCCCTGCTTTCTCTCTCTCACTTCTCCCCTCTCTCTCTCTCTCTCTCTCTCTGTGTGTGTGTTCCTGTCTGTCTGTCCCTCTCTCTCGCTCTCTTTCTAGCTGTACCTATACTTCTTCATTTTTTATCCTCTTCCTTCTTTCTTTATCTCCACAACTTTATATCCCTATCACTTCTCTCTCTATTGAATTTCTCACTCATATAAGGTAATTTTAAGAAAAAATAGGACTCAGGTACTAACAATCAGAAAGAGACAGCTGCAATTTTCGGGACCCACACTGAGGAAAAATAGTTTGAAGATTTAACACTCACAAGATATATTGAAGGAAAGAGAATCAGTAGGAAATAGAATGGAACCTACTTGAGTAGTATGAGTATGAATGAAAAAACATTAAAAAAATTAGAGACAGCTAGCTCATAATGTTTAGATCATCCCTTAGCCTGAATAACAATGGCTACGCTAAGAAGCATAGACTCTGGTGTGTGAAATAATTGCGTGCGTATATCTATACGAATATGTTTCATGGCTCATACATGCCTTTTACATGTCTCATACATGACTTAATTGGATTTAAATCTACTGGGTATATGAAAGTTAGTCGAGGTTTCCAAGTCACCCGATCACGATTGGGGGGGATAATTTATGTCTTCTTTATGAAACAATCCATTATTACTAGGAAAATGACCAGGATAAAGGGATGTAAATGGTTTGCAAAAGATCTGTATATGTCACAAATTTTCGTTAAAAATACTTACGAACTCTAACAATTCCAACATTTGGGAGTTTTCACAATACCCCTTAATTACAGGTTGAATCCATAGACTCTTGCCGTCTCCTTCACACATAAACTTGACCGTCAGTTTGAAAGAGCTGGAAACACAACTCTTTTAGCCAGGCGGCACGATGCTAATATTCCACAGTCCAATAACGAGGTTCTATGGCCCAGATGACGCACAGTAACCGATGCTATGATGTGTACTATGGCATCTTTTTTGATCCATGATCCTCGACAGCTTAGGGAATGCAATGTAAATAGTAATTTTGCTGTTGAGCTGGGATGTGGTTTTTCATTGGGTCGTTATAATTTGTCACAGTTGCAGACTGTTAGATTCTTACATCACATGTTGATAGTTGTCACAACAGAGATAGAGAGCGTCATCATTCTAGTCTCAACAAACTTTCTGCGATCAAAACGTGCACAATTTCTATGAACATCACAGACACTACAGATGCACTGTCGTAGTTAGCCTACTTCTTGATCATTCATCATTCAGCTGAGTCCAGTCCTTTTAGTTGGGAGAACTAAAACTACCAGTGTACTAATACTGTCTTTAATGTATATATATATATATATATATATATATAATGAAATGGAAAAATGTCCGACAATTTTTTTAATACATTTTTATGTTTATACATTCTTTTTATAGATACAAATATTTAAGTAAATGCTCTGTTTATAATAAACAGTATTTACCGGCCTGAATGTCCGAGAAATTTTCACAGAAAATATTCGTCCTCCGACAGGATTCGAACCTGTATCCTATACGGAACCGTCATTTAGCTTGACGTGCCTTTAACCGATTTAGCCACAGAGGAGCGTTCGTTTAGCAAGGTCGAATTTACTGTATTTGAACTTCAATCTTCAATGAATCTCTCACGTACATTCATATCTGCTCCTGGCGTATCAAATGTAATCAAATGACGTCACACATCATGAAATGGACAAAGTCCGACAATTATTTTAAGACATTTTTATATTTATACATTCTTTTTATAGATACAAATATTTAAGTAAATGCTCTGTTTATAATAAACAGTATTAAACAACATTTATCGGCCTGAATGTCCGATAAATTTTCACAGAAATATTCGTCCTCCTCATTTAGCTTGACGTGCCTTTAACCGGTTTGGCCACAGAGGAGCGTCCGGTTAGCAAGGTATTTTAAACACACAACAAATCTTTTCGTTATCCATCTGATGAGGCCATTAAAGGAGAAATGCATTATCGGATATTATTTTTCGAAACATATTTTCATGAGCATTTTTCCAAATGTCAATATATATATATATATATGTATATATATATATATATATATATATACACAAAGTTTGTCCATAAACTATCCAGCCATTTTGAATGGGAACGTGTTACACGTGCTTGATGCAACTTTCCAATTAATTAGAGGATATCTTACTATGTAAACAAGAACAATGAAGTTACTCGGACATCAGTCAGCATTGACAGAAAATATGCATCAGGTTTTGCTTGTAACGTAGATATTCCGAACAACTTTTTTATAATTAAAATGGCTTTGTGGAGAGATCCCTGCAAAAAAAATGACGTTGCTACAACGTTTCTGCATCATCATAGAGAAATTCCAAAAACGTTTTTGTTGACTTCCCTCCGCGAGTCCGCAACGTTACCGTCTAATGTTGCAAATACATTGCCTTGTAACTTAACATAAAATGGATAATAAATTCCAGCAAGCTATTAAAATGTGCATCTAAATTAATTATTCTCAATTAAAAAAATACGAAAAGAAATTTTATACCTTCTATGCATATTAAACGATGAAAAAGTATTCTGATTTCAATTGATCTGTGCAGAATTTTTCAGCTACAGTATTGTACAAAGTTGCCATAATATTGTTACAACATTGGATGAATGTTCAGTTTGTGGTCAGGAAAGTAGTTGATTGAAATGTTGTAGTAACGTTGCCACGACGTCATATATCCACAATTAAAATACAACGCATCTTCAACGTTGCAAGAACGCAATAGCTGGGATGATTAAATGAGAGAAGAGTCAAAGTTTTGGCACCGATGCTTCAAAACTTGGTCGGGAATCCGTTGAATGCGATTCAAGTTTTGGAAGGCCTTCAACAAAAAGAACAAATGAAAATACTGACCGCAATCAAAGTAAATGTGCGAAATTGAAAAAATGTAGGGATTCCACGGACTCTCCGTAGAGTAGACAGCATTTTAATATCCCGACTGCAAATCCTTCTTGTCTTGTGCTTATTTTTATTTATTTATTTATTTCAAAACATTGCATTACTCATGTCTGTAATATAGGCTATTATAGTTCAAATTAGGCTCCTTAGGATTTCTTGATTTTCCTAAACCAAAATCGCTGTGGAAGGGTTGATTTCAGAATATAAACGAGATTAAGACGATCCCTAAGAAAAACAGTAGTTTGCAGACTGTTTTGTGCAATGGAAGAGTTAAGCGTGTTAGGTCCGAAGAGGAATATTTTGAAATGGCTAAGGAGCCATTGTCCTAGGTGGCCTACTTATTCGTTAATATCAAATGGCTGGATTATCTCGTATATATCGTTATCAATCTACTATTGTATACCAATTTAATATAGTTTGATTAATTCTAGGGGATTCATTAGTGGTTGCTTGAACCAAAATATGCTCAGCTAAGTAAATATATATAAAATATAAGTAAAATATATATAAAATATAAATATAAATATATATATATATATATATATATATATATATATATATATATATATAAGTGGGTGTGTATGTGTGTGTTTGTGTAATTTCCTGTTTTTCTAACTCTTTTTCACTACATATGTGTGTGTGTGAGTGAGAAAGAAAGTAAACAGGAAAGTATTTTGAAGGCGACAAACACACACGCACACATAAATATATATATATTATATTTTGAATTTGTAGGTCTGATGAATTGGAAAGTGATTACGATTCCAATGTAATAAATTATAACCACAGAATATTAGTGTTTGGGCCTTTTATATTATATATAATATTCTACAGTCTTTAGCATTACTGACCGGAAATAAAATAAAAAAATATAAAAAAACTCTCGGTCAGACCCAAATTCTCATCGCGTTTTCCTTGCCTATCTATAAATGATGAAAGACAACATCTGGTTTTATTAATTTTTCAAATTGTCCAGCAATAGATCTCATCACTCCGAAACCAAGACTAAATTTCGTTATCTTGAATAAAGTAAATGTTTAAATATCTCCCTCAATGATATTATCTTTTCAAATTACGCAAAATATTATTTCTCATTTGTTTTAATTTTTGTTTTTTTATAATGCTAAATGAAATTACTGACGTGAGAAGAATGACCAAGTTAATCAGTTGTAGAGAAGCCAATCTGTTGACTCAACAAAATTGTAAATGACTTCCAAGCTTTGTGTCGTTTCCTTCTCACTGCTGTTCAAGATATTCCAGAATGAATTTAACAAACAAATGTCAAATACGTTATTTTCGGAGATTCATTTTTAGACAGTCTGTATTTCTCTAAAAATGAGATTGTTTGTTTTATTTAGCAGAAACTGCTTTTGCTCTTAACATATGTTTGTTTTGGAAGGACCCACTGAGTTTCATTAGCCTCGGTTTTATTTTTATTTTTCTTATTGTGGTATGTGTGATTAAATAGCAATGGCGGCTGTCCGACAGAGAAGGAGCAGGCCCGGCAACATTATTACCACGCTGCAACTCGATCTGGCAGTGCCATGTTCAGACCCAACGTTTCTTTTCAACGTTCCCTGATCAACCAGAGTTTCGCGTGACAGTAATTTGATTGACAACAACGCCGGCATGGTGAGCGCCAAGTAAAGTCGTCGTGTTTACCAGACATTCAAGATGTTTGTTTAAATTTCCAATGATTACTCCCCTGTTCGTAAGCGACTCCTTAACACCAAAGAAGCAGCCAACTCTGACCATTCTCGCCCCTGTCAACTCTACCTAGTCAGATGACGAAGCAGCCATGCCGGGACGCTATCACGATGACAGAGCGATATATGGGATGTCTCCTATAAGATAAAGAACTACTGACCAACCGAGAAGCGTTCGCCATTTTGTCAGGATTATTTACCTAATGCCATTTGCATACGTTGAAGTATCGTATCTTTTGCTTTGAACGCAGAAAAACAACTTATTATATCCAATTTCTTCGTAACATATTTGTGTCTTTTCTACGTTAGTGATTTTGCTTAGGCAGCACCAACATTGAGTCCATAGAATTGATAAAGGTAGATTATGCCGCTTCAGTCAATTTATTGACTGCCATCCCACAAATTTATTATATTTCGTAATGTATACTATAGATACAAACTTTCAAAGACTGATGTGTCTTCTTGTCTTATATATATATATATATATATATATATATATATATATATATATATATATATATATATATTCTGAAACGATGCAG